TGTCTCATATTCAGATTCACTGTTAATCGGGACCAATTTTTTATTTTTCCTCTTATAAGTAAAATTAATTTTAGGCCTATTAGCAATATAACTTTTAGCATCGTTAACATCTCTTGGTTTAGTGACATGTTGCTCGAAGTTTTTGTCTGATTTACCCTTAATAGAAAAATAGAATCTCCATAAAACGAATGATTCTCCTTAAGCTAACTGAGCATGACTTGCTTGATTAAACCGTTCCTTCAATTAGGTGGTATAACAAGAGAATAATAGGTGGAAAAGAGAGACTAGGATAGTATTTTAAATAACCAGGATAGTATTCTAATGGCTGTCCCTCAGGAGGATATCTTCAACCGCTGATATTTTGGAGGGTATCTTTAAACTCAGGTGGGTATCTTGGAAGTGTATCCCTCAAAGGATGTTGCGGAGTGTATCTCACATTAAACCGCAATTGCCAGATCGAATAAATAAAATAAAATATACCTCATTTTCTATAATCTCTTGATAAAGTTGTTTGACTCGATCACTGGAATACTCAAACTTTTCAAGATATGAATAGAAATTGAAACTTTTATCGCCTTCAAATTGCCCAATAGCTTCAAAAGCATTATAATAATTGTAAGCATTTAAATAAAGCTCATGCCAAATGCTTTCCAAATATATCCGGCGATAAAAATCAATTTGCTCGTCTATATCCTGTTTGTTTGTTAAATATGTTTGGTTAGCTTTAACTTGTTTTCCATTATTTTTTACTATTTCATTATCAGACAAAAGGGAGATTGAGTAATAATGTTGGTGGATATTATTGTAAAATGTATTATATTTTGATGAAGATTGTAATTTTCTAATGATTCTCTTAAATGTTAGAATAGTAAGAGTTTAGCATAAGTATAGCCACCGGGCCTACGCTATCCCCATACAGGAGATCTACTATGGAGCTACCGCGGCGACGATCTTTTTTTCCTTATAGAACTTTCCCATTTCTCCTTATCATGAGTTTGTCGGTTTCAAATCGAACTGAACCTAAAAACCGAAGATTTTCTGTTCGTTTTGTCAGTTTGTTTTCGGTTATCCGATGAATTTTGTGAAACCGCTAACCCTAAGCAGGAGATCTGTGACATAGGCTTTTATAGACTTTCATAAATTATTTTAGGAACTAACATCATTCGACTGAGGAACTAACATAATTCGACTGAGGAACTAACATAATTCGACTGAGCTCGTGTAGCTCCTACGAAAAATCTCTTAGTATAATCGAGCTTTACCCTATAAGCATTAGATTTACAAAAGTCTGTCCCTCGTCTCATCAAAAATAACAGAAATGCCGAAGTACCCAGAAAACGTTTTAATTACCTGATTTTTAACTTCAAGCTCAAGATCCCTAAGAATCTCAGGCGCAGGCAATTCGATCAAAAATTCCGAGTATTTGATTAACTCAAAACCTTTAGGGATATTTTTAAACTCAAAAATTTTATTTCTCTCCAATTCCTCGCCAGGTATCGAATATTCATTATTATCCTTTTTATATTTTAATAAACATTTGAATATTTTATTTTCGCCAATTTTTGGTTTTAAATAATTTAATTGGCGGGTAGTTTGGAAATCATTGTTTATTGCGAGTTTGACGACATTTGAACACAAAATGGAGTTAAATAACATTGGAAGGAGGAGAATAATAAATAAGTTGAAGTAAAGCATTATATCAACTTTAAATTGTTAATTAAATATTTGATAGGGTACCTCAGGCCCTGCTTAACTCTGACCCTGATCTATTATAGCTAAAACGCTGATTCCGATATTCTCAATCACGCAACTTTGATATCTCTGGAAATTTCGGAAAAGTAATCCTGAAAAATTCGAGCAGGACATGGTCCTATGACCATAGAAATCCTAGTCCGTTTTTAAGAATAGTGAAGTATTACCGGAAGGATTCATTAGGCATGTGCTATAGTATACTTAAGAGGCTTAGGGCCTGGAGCTGTTTCTGTCTGTCTGTATTTTGAGAATATGGCAAGCAACCACTAGAGATTTTAGTCGTGTCTATTAGAGATCGAGCTGGACCTGGACCAAAGCCTGGGTTTTTCCTGTACCCAGAGTCCAGGTCCAGGCATTTTTTGACCTTCCTGGGTTTTTCCTGGACCTGGGTTTTTCCTGGACTACAGGCCTAGAATCCAGTCCAGGTCAAAAAATCAACTACAGAGTCCAGGAACAGGTCCAGGCTTTTCAAAAACTCGATCTCTAGTGTCTAAGAGTGAGCGAACCAGCAATCTATTCTTATTCATACCTCTTCACGGGAACAATAGGGACTTGAAAAAGTGAAGACGTGAGCTTACTTAAATTTACATATGCTTGAACGAATGTAAAAAATATTTTTATTATTTTTATTTTAATATTTAATTAAATAAAAACTTAAATTATAAGATTTATAGCATTTTTAATTAAATAATTTAATCGGCAATTTAAAATTATAATGTCAATTTAATCAATGTTAAATGAAAGATGGGTGGAGAGGAGGAAGGAAACAGAGGGGAGGAGAATAGAGGAGAAGAGATAGCCATTAAATGGGAAGGGGTGTAGTGAGGATGAAGAGGGGAGCGGGAAATATGGAGGGGAAGATGTTGAGAGATGCGGGAAGGAGAAAAGGGAAATAGGAGAGCGGAGGTAGGGAAGAAAGGAGAGCAGACGGGAGGATGCAGGGAGCGGGAAGAAGGGAGGGGGTAAGGAGATACGGGAAGGAGAGAGGAATGGAAGTAGCAGAGCGGTGGATGGGAGGGAAGGAGAGAAGACGAGAGGAGTGTTACTGAGGGGAAGGTGTGGAAGGGGAGAATTGCAAGGGAGGGTGTGAGTGAATGCTTGCACTTAAGTGAATGCTTGCACTCTTGTTTACTTAAAAGGGCATTACCGCCCTAGCCTTTTTGACTCGTGGCAGATTTTAAAATAATAAAAACTTCCTTTGAAGTTGAATAAATTTAATTATGAAATCTGAGAAAAAATAAACAAGAGATGTTGTGAAATTAAGTCTGGCTCTATCACTGTCTCTATACAAAATATGTCTGAGAAAACATTAAGTTAAGATTTCCAAAAGATTTTATTTACGAGGGTTCAAATTTGCCAGCTCATCTGGATATACACGATGGATCCTACGTAGTGTCCAGATTCCTTGAAATCGGGAATTCCGACGTTTTTTGGGGCGGGAATAACTACAACAAAATTAATAACTACAACAAATAACTACAACTACAATAACTACAACAATAACTACAACAAATTAGGCGTACGGGGAGAAAAAAAGTTCCAGACTGGCTTAACAATAAAGCCAGATCTGGAACAAAAAAAACCCCAGACAAGTAGTTGGATCTCACTTTTGAATACCCCAACATGTGTATTCTTCATATTCATCTTTGATGTATACCAGGGATAGGGTGTCAAACCGACCGATAACACGAACCTAATGTCTAACAACCCTACCATGAATCCAACGACATAATAATTTTCTAAATCTAAAATCGGATCATCTAGACCGATGATTTATGCATATAGTAAAGCGGTTGGTCCCGTTTCCCAGTGCCTCGTTGTTTAGTTGTTGTAGGCAGAGTCGCGCATGCTTGCAAACATTTGTGAACTCCACAGAGTATAGAAATAGGTAATCGCTCGCAGTGGGGGAATATAGGGAGACGTCTTCCCAATAAGACTGGATGGATTGGCCGACCGGCAACTCTGTTGGATGAATGAAGAAGTGATCTGCCCTTGCCTATTCCATTAAAGCTTATATGCTCCAGCTCTTCCTTATTGCTTTCCCAAGGATAAGTTAGTGGCGATGTTAAGCTTAGATAATGGGCGGCTAATAACTCTCTGAGTATGGCCGTTTGTGGCGTTCTTTGCCTTTTCTCTGGGAACTTCCGTTACTTCGCACAAAGTTTAGAGCGACATTATTGTTCACGTGATTTCAAGATGAACCTGGCCTTACAATATCAAAACCCACTTCAGTAAATAAAATGGTATACATAAGAGAGATCCCACTATAAACAAAAAGCAATGGATATAAAGGAAGTAAATAACATAAAAATTTGAATTAAGATGGCGGGATCATCTTAGGAAAATAATACGAAGCCAACATCATCCATCCCATTGCAAAAGAGTAAATTTTCAACACAAACCAAATAATGGAAAACCAAGGTCCACAATTTTCTTCTGTTAATTGTCACTCTCTAGCTATTCCTTTTCCTTTACCAGGCTTTGATGATGATTCACCATGTGAACGAGCTGGTTTACGCTGTGGTGTACGCATTGCACGTTTTTTGCGTGAATAAATTTCTTTCATAAAGTTTACTGAGCGTTTCTTGCGAGAAATAGTACATCCACAACATTTAGGTTCTGGAGCGTCAACTAAATAGATTATTACATCGAGCGATACCAATAAAATTTTATGTTGATGAATTTTCTAAGACGCTTACTAAGTGAGTTTTTGATTTCAAAAATAAGGCTCCGTGGTTAAAGAAACAGAAAACCACTTCCCTATAGTGGGACAAATTTTTTTGAATATATATTTGTTTTTAGAATAATCGATGTACAGCGAGGCCAATGTATCATCAACGGGTACACCCCATTATATCACCGCCTAATATACAGCCGCCCATTATACCGCCGCATAAGTTTTATATTATTTTGCGGGGGATGACAGGGGATGTTGACTCAATGACGCGGGTGTTAACTTGTGACAGGGGATGTTGTTCGAACTTTCCCCTTCGACGGACCAACATCCCCCGTCGCTTGTTAACATACCCCGCCAAAATAATAAAAAATTTTTGCGGCGGTATAATGGGCGGCGGTATACTGGGCGCGGTATACTGGGCGGAGGTATGCTCCCATTGTAACTTCGGTCATTATCGAATCCTGCTCCCTAGTGATGTTCGAGACTCTCGGTCTCGACTCTCGAGTCGAGAAATTTCTCGGGTTTTTTGAGCTCTCGGTCTCGGTGTTTTGGTCTCGGAAAACGAGACTAAATTTACACCCCTAATGACGGAAATTTTTTGAACTTTACTCGGACCTTGCGTACTTTGATATTAAAATTTTTAAGGAAAAGTCTCCAAAATTCCCAAAATTTTGCCTGCGGCGCTGAAAAATGGAAGAAATCTGGCTTCTTGAGCTCCAAAATTCTCAAAATTTTCGCCTGCGGCGCTGAAAATGGAGGAAATTTGGCTTCTTGAGCTCCAAAATTCAAAAAATTTTCGCCTGCGGCGCCAAAAATGCAGCAAAAATTTGAATTTAATAAGATTAAAGGATTAGATTTTGTGGTTTGTGGTATATTAGATACTGTGGATTCTGAAGGATAAAATTTAATATCAAGGGATGGGTGCATCGATGGATCAAAAAGATATTGTTGGATTTGTAGGGATATGGAAGGATATGAGGGGATTTTAAGAGATTAATGTGAATATCATTGAATATATATTGTGGACAAGTGGATTCAAGCGAGTATGGGGATTTTGAGGTATATCAAGGGATTTTTGGGGATTAGGAGGGACATCAAGTGATATCCCTCTTAATCTCTCGGTCTCGACTCTCGACTCTCGTTTTGGTCTCGGTCTCGGGGTTGATTCTCGGTCTCGGTCTCGACTCTCGACTCTCGGGATTTTTTGACTCTCGAACATCACTACTGCTCCCACTGTAACTTCGGTCATTATCGAATCCTAACGCTCAGGGCTCTATTCCACAAAGCTACATTGACATTAAATGTCGACAGAGACCCCCCGCCCTCTCCCGTTTACTCCCGTCATTGAAACAACATCACCCGTTTACCCCCCGTCAATTGACGGGTGGTAGAGCGGCAGCCCCCTTATCTTTTCTTAACTTCATTGTATTGAGTAATAGCAAGGAATTCTGTGACAAGAGGGCTTGAAAGGGGCAATCCCCCTCATCATCTCTTAACTTCACTGTATTGATTAAGAGCAAGGAAGAATGTGACAAGAGGGCTTGAGAGTGGCAGCTCATCTTCTCTTAACTTCATTGTATTGAGTAAGAGCAAGGAAGACTGTGACAAGAAAGCTTGAGATGGGCGGCCACTCTCATCTTCTCTTAACTTCACTTTATGAGTGAGAGCAAGGATGACTGAGATAAGAGGGCTTGAGAGGGGCAGCCCCTCTCACCTTCTCTTAACTTCATTGTATTGAGTGAGAGCAAGGAAGACTGTGACAAGAAAGCTTGAGATGGGCGGCCACTCTCAACTTCTTTTAACTTCACTTTAATGAGTGAGAGCAAGGATGACTGAGATAAGAGGGCTTGAGAGGGGCAGCCCCTCATCTTCTCTTAACTTCACTGTATTGAGTAAGAGCAAGGATGACTGAGATAAGAGCACTTTGAATCCATGGCCATAGATTGTCCCTGTTCTACTAATTTTAAATAATTCATACAACAGACCTTACTATAGAAAATCGATCCCTTTCACTCTCTAATTTACACTCTCCCAAAATAATCCCTCGAAATTTCCTAAAGCATAGCCTTCATTCCAACAATGTATATAAAGTTTTATTTATAAATAAATACAAATTATTATAATAATTTAAGAATTAGCATAAAATTAATAGAATCAACTTGTTTGGCTATCAAAAACTAGAGGTTTAAAGTAGTGTTAATTGAATTAAGTTAAATACATCTAGTAGTTTAGTAAATTTCACAAATGTTTGTTTCCTAATATTTTCTGGTATAGGCGAGGCGTTCTAGAGAAAAACGACTTAAACATATTTGAGTGATTGCTCCTCGGTGGTAAATTTTAAATGAGGCGAAGGAGAGCCCCTTGCTCTCCTTCATAAGGCGATGGAGAGCAAGTTTCGAATTTAGAATTCGAATTTTCGATCTAAGATTCGATCAGAGCAATCTATATTATATAAGCAAGCCATTAAAAACCCATTATATAGAATCACGAGAAATAAATTGACTTTTACTCTCTAATTCACACTCTCTAGATAGAAAATAAGCCCTTGCAAAAGGCAAGGGCATTAGTCGTCATTTTGATTTCGATAACCAAAATCTTCTAGTAAGTTTGCAGATATTCGCTATTTACAGCTCATTTAAATATTATGCACCGACTATTACATCGGTGTTTTCTATTCTGTTCTTTACTTCCACTAGGTTGGTTCCCAAGGTTGAATCATCTTGTTCGTTAATTTGAGCATTTACCATAAGAGGGAGGTGTTCAATAAGAACGAGAAGAAGTTCCGATTTCATTGGTCCTGTACCAGTTTCTAATTCAATTTTTACCTCAGAATAAGATGGAGTGACAAGATCTGGTCGGCCTACACCTCTTAATTCTGATTTTCTATTATATGAGGCATGAGCCTAATTTTTTTTTGCAAGACTTTCTGAAATCAGACTGTTGTGACCAATCAAGTTTGGATGAATAAAATTCAAAATTAATTTAAAATATTTATTTTAATTTAAAAATAACAGTCGCTGTAAATTGTAGAAGAAGGCTTTTGTTTAAAAAGTATTTGAAGACTGATTTGGAGAAGACATTATTTTGGGGGTTTTGAGAGGGATAAATGGGCCATTCGGCCTTGGTTTTTGTGTGCTGCAATCCTTTTTTAGTTTTTTATTTAATCCTTTGCCTCTCTTCTTTTGGAAAATTTTATTTTTTATTTTAATTTTCCCTTTCTTTTATTATTTTGCAAAAATCAGCCCATCTTCAACTACTTTTAATCCTCTCAAACGCCTACTTATCTAAATCCCTTAAACCCCTTCAAATCCAACGATAACTCACTTAATTTCGTCAATTGAGAAATAACCTCAAATTTTTGATAAGTTTCTATTTAAAATAAGTAAATTTCAGAAAAAGCTAAATTTTAAGAATTTTTAAAATTTTTAAAATTTAAAAAATTTCCCGGAAACACGTTTTTCTACACCCGCACCCGGTAGAAAAAACGGGTTTCCGGATTTTCGGGGTTTTAGCCCGGAAAATCCGGCCCGGGTTGGATTGGAAGAAAAAACACGGAAAATGTCACCTTTATTTTGCTGAAACTCCTGCTGACCACATAAACTCCAATTTCTTACTTTAAACGGTTTAAGCTCTTTTAGGGCCAGATTAATTAATAATTTCTAATTAGATTTTAAATAATTAAAAAAAGATTTTTAATAATCGTTGTAAATTAATTTTTCATTTATACATTTGTAATTAAATTTACTAAATTTTACTATTATTTACTAATTTTTTGTCAGTCTTTAAATTCACTTTGCTCTTAAAAATCTATAAATAAAATCCACAATAAATAAAGTGATTACTGTTTCTTTCTGTCATTAAACTTTTACTCTCTAGACAAATGATTTCTTCTTATATTCCCCCCCCCCCTTCCCAACCCTTTAAAATCTTTCAAAATTGTATTAAAATCTCGTATGAAATTGTATGCATATTCAAAGAGCCTTCTTCATTGAGTGCCTTCTGTCGCTCACTCTCTAAATTCACTCTATCTTTACAAAAGCTTAAAAAGCTTCACATAAACGCCTCCTCCAAAATTTTAAAAGGAAGAGAGGTATAACTTTGAATAATTTTGTAAAATTAAAAAAAGGGGGCGTCTAAATTCATGTATACATAAATGGAGGTAAAACTCATTTAGCATTCATTTAATTACTAAAATCGAATTTCAATATAATATAGCCCCTAGTCTAAATAAAACCTATCTAAAATTAGTTGTACACAAAAATGGAGGTATCGTTTTGAGTCACCCCAATATGTGGCCAAACCAGACGTTTGGCATCTCGGGGATTTTTTTTCGAGCCAGCGGCCTTCGCCTGCTTTTGATGGTTTGGCTTCGTGCCATTGGCCGTTGACATTTTATTATAATTTTATTTATTTAAATTTAAGAAATGAAGCTGGCAAGATGTCTTTTCATTTCAAAAACATTTCCCCAAAAAATTCCCATCTTCACCCTAATTTTCATTCTGTTTTCCTTCAAAAATATTTTTTGTGATGCCCAACACAATCTAAACGATTCAATACGATTACAAGTAAAGAATTTGTTGAAAAATTATTTGCCGAAACAATCCGGCAAAAAGTTAATGGATCCATTGGAATCGCTTCAACATTTGTTCGACGGACTTGCATTATTTAACGACCACTACCGTTTTGGTGGTATTCTTGACTATTGCAAGGAATTTCAAGGCGATTCATCGAAAGGCAAACAGAAAGTAATAAATTAAGGGTAATTTATTCTTATCCTCATCCTTATGTTAATTTGAATGAGAGATCAGATGAGTGATCATGAGATCAGAGTGACCAAAGTGATCATGATCAGAGTGATCTGCTTCCCTCGAATCATGAAAAATCATGATCACTTGTGATCCATTCTGGATCATGGAGTCAAAAAAGATATAACAATTCAAAATTGGCTGACATTCTAATGGCCCGTAAATCCATGAAATATATTTTTGTTTTAAAGGTTAAATTCGTCGAAAAGCAGATGTTTGAAAAAGATATGGACAGAGAGATGTTGATAAATGCCAAAAGATATGTTGAATGTGTAAATGAAATAAACACAAACTATTCCAGCGTGTTAGACAATAAATATGCAAGACGAGAAGGTTAAATACATATTTATTTGGGTTGAGGTTTTCAGATCGGGGCGGTGTACTTGTATTTTCCGGGCCTCATTTTTATCGTAGCGGGCCGTTCGATTCTGATGCACGATCCGATCTTTTGATGCACGAAATTTGATGCACGATCCGATCTTTCGACTTGAATCTAATCAGGCCCCAACCCTAATATTTATAATTAAGAATAAGTATAGGCACTTGTAGAAATCTACCTCTAAAAATCACATTAAAGACGTTCAACCTATTAGTCTTGAATCTTGATTCAAAATTTTACTTGTGTGTTTTCGGTCATGGTATAGCTATATGCTTTAAAATGTTAAAGGGAGTATACTATAACAAGATTCGATTGCATAAGCAATAGATAAACTTAAGTATATAAAGAAGAGTCTGTAGAGTTTATTGAGACATTAATTTTCTTAATTTCATAGATAAACAAAAAATCGACATTTTCAAAAATTTTATGAGAGCATTTTTATTGACAAAACCGATATTTCTTGCGGTTGAATCAATAAGATTTATGGGAACTGGAAATTCGCATTTGTTTGGACAATGGGAGATCTATAATTCCCGAATCTCTGAAGATCCTTCAATGGAAAATTATCAAGTTATCCGTAATGTGCGCCGCAATTTTTTTCTTCAACTTGCTGCAACACAGAAAAAGGAGGTACAGTAGGAGTTTATCAGAACATTTGGGTTGATACCAAATATTCGAGTATATACGATACTTAAAATTATTATCCCACTGTTTAAAAACGTAACTATAAAAATGAATCTATTTACAGGAACTTCAACTTATATACAAGTTGACAGAAATTCTTTCCGGAATAAACGAC